AAAAACCAAAAAAGATATAAAATTGCAGTTAGACTAAAGGAATAAATTTGTATCTATTATAAAACATGATTATATTGATGACAGATTCCTGGGTCTGACCATGCAAACCTCGTGGCTTGAATTCAACCACCCACTGTAGAAGGGGAGAGCCGACTCCTGAAACTGGTCCTCTGACCTCCACACATGCACCATACCTACCCAAGTGTGTCATATTTCTAAACATATATCGTACAAATATACACACAATAATATACAAATTTAAAAAATAGCATATGACTGCAAATAGTGGCAAGAGTAGATTTTAAATATCCTCACTATAAATGAAGATAAATATGTCAGTATGTGAGGAAATGGATGTTGTTAACTTGATTTAGGCATCCCATGATGTTTAAAAATATAATAACAGCATGCATATAATAAATACATATATTTATACATTTTGTAAATTAAAGAGTAAATCTTCAGAAACTGCTTCTGTTGAATCCTATTTAGAATACTAATAGGGTCGGAGAGATGGCACAGCAATGACATGACACACACCCTTCCCACTCCTCATTCATGTTTTTATCTGTGTGTGTACCTGAGGGAATTTATGTGCACCACACATGGAGGCCAGGGATGTCAGATCCCCTGAAGCTGGAGTTATAGGCACTTGGGAGGCACTTGCTGCTCTTGCAGAGGACCAGATTTGGTCCCAGCACCCACTCGATGGCTCACAACCATCTGTAACTCTAGTTCCAAGGGAAATTCTAACCTCTCGGGCCTCTGTGAGCACTCGAATGCACAGGGTGCACATACATTTATGCAAACACTTTTGTAAAAGGTTTTAAAAATAATTTGAAATTTTTGTTTGTTTGTTTTTGTTTTTAAGAAAACAAAGATGACCTCAGAAGAGCTGAGCTGAAGGTTCAACCAGGAACTGGATTCTAAGCACGGTGTTGCTGTAAGCCATGAGGATGTAACAGCTTCGAAAATGGTTTATTCAGAGGAAAGGGTGAAGGCGTCAGTGACTCTATCACTGGCGCGACCCGCGTTTTCTGGTGTGGTGTTCACATTCTAGTGTGAAGAGCACCACTAAACTATGGTGCCGTAGCTTCGGATGCCAGGTGTGCCAACACGATTGTGTTCTACTGTAACGTTCTTCATCAGGAACCGCACAATCAAGTACTTTTAAATCCCATGTTGTAATTAAGTTTATGATTTTCATTTGGGCTGCATGAGGCCTGTGGGTTGTAGGTTGGACACCTCTTAGATCACCCAAATTTGGGGAAAGACACACACTTCCCATTCTTTCTTCTTCTTTTCTTTTTTTAAATTTATGTGTGTGTGCCTGAGTGAGTTGATGGGCACCACATCCAGAAGCCAGAGGGTGTCAGCTCCCCTGGAGCTGGAGTGAATCACTGAACCTGAGGCCTCTGGAAGAGCCGCAAATGCTCTTAAGCCACGGAGCCATCTCTCCAGCCCCTCCATTCTGGTGTCCTGTTTGGTGCACATAGAAAGGTCCTTATCTTACTGGATGAAGCACAGAACCAACCTCACTACAAGGTAAGATGGCCTTCGGGGACATGATTGAACCCATGAGTACTTTGTTAAGTACACACTCACTGTCGGCCTCTCCGAGTCTTCTCTGGAGGGCTATATAAGTTCTATAATTGAGGAGGAACAAAACCCCTCAACTCCAGACCACCCCCGAAGCAGGCTTTTTGACAGCAGATGCCCCCTCCTTCTATTCTCTTGAAACAAGTGGGGTTGTCTGTAAACAACTAGGAAAGTTTCTGGGAACCCAGCGTATGGCCATCTTGTCTCTCAGCCCTCAACCTCTGTGGTCTGTTTTGAATAAGCACAAACCGCAAATTCCTACCGCATGCTGCTCACACAATCAAGTGTCAGGTTTCCAGATTTCTGTATCCCCTAGCCGGCCTCCATTTCTGAAACCCTGCTGTGCAGAAAGTTCAGGAAGTCTCATTACATTGTGGGTAGTGGAAAGAGCGACAGTGTTTTGGAATAGAGTCAAAAACAAAAGAAACTTTAGATGTCACTGATTTCAGTTCCCGCTTCCATGGGGGAGAGTTCCAACTGGAACACATTGGGTTTACTGATCACTGAAAGGAGGTGGGTCATGTCTTTATCCTGTAGTTTTGGCTGCTGTGGCAGCACCTCCTAAGCCGCCCCATAGAGTGGTTAAGTGAACAGTCTCTGTGCTGGATGGCTAGGATTAAAAGTGCCTGCCTACTGGTTTGTAATTATGGAACCCTCGTCATGTCAGGGAAGGACAAAATGAGTGCATGTGTTTAAACTCATCTGTGAGTACTAGAAACGGTGTCTAGCATCCAGCAGGCATGCACAGGATGCTAGTTACATGGTCAGCACCTCACGGGGCTAGCTCCAGGATTAGGAGATGAGGCTTCCTGAGGTTTATCACAGTACCTGGAAAAAGGTGCTCACAAAATGTGCTCTTCCACTTGGACAGCGAGGGTTGGAGGTTACTGTCTCAACTGATTACTTTTTCTCCTGACTATGAACTGATCGGGGAGGAAAAGAAACTGAAAGATTTTAATTTCAACGTGATAATATTTTGACACTTAGAAGTATTTTGATAAGTTATGTAGTGTGAGCACTGAAGGGCTATCAAGGAAGCCAACTTGAACTATTGCTTTCTCCCTGAAGGGGATGGAGAGCATCCTAGAATTCCTAACATCCATGCTTCTCTTTAGTGGGAGGGGCCAGAGTGGCACTAACTCTTTGGCCTTTTTAGCTAAGGATCACCACCACTTGCTTTAGTTTTCTGTTGCTATGGCAAAATATCAGAGATGATAAACTTACAAGGAGGAGACATTTTATTGGTTCACAG